ATTTACTGTTAACTTTTCCTGTTGTAACTTTGTCCTTCCTTGCGGCCTCATATTTCATGCATCCTTCAGGAGGATGAGCGGTATGAGCAGGTTGGTGATGTGCGGGCCCAGCTTAAATTCTTCGAGCAGTTGGATCAGATGGAGAAGCAAAGGAAGGAAGAGCAGGAGAGAGAGATTCTCTTGAAGGCTGCCAAGGTAACAATATATTAACAAAGACACAGTATCATTGACAGAAGGGACCCTACATATTATCTTAATTGCATAGTCAAGGCAAGTGAGTGATCTTGGGTCAGTGTCATTATTATACATTTCCTCTGCTAACTATCACGAGAGAACAGATCTGCTAATATGGTGAGTGAATGAATAAAACAACTGAATAAATTGAACATATCCATCTTGAAATATTAAAATGTCCTCTACCTTACTGCAGTCTCGGTCACGGCAAGAGGACCCTGAGCAGCTCAGACTTAAACAGAAGGCCAAAGAGGTAAGTATATGCTGCAATAATTGACTATATGATTGCTTTCTGTGTGAGTCATTATGGTGAGTTTGTCTACTAATCTGTGTGTTTTTGCCTGTATTCCAGATGCAGCAGCAGGAGCTGGCTCAGATCAGACAGAGAGAAGCCAACCTAACAGCGCTGGCAGCAATCGGCCCGAGAAAAAAACGGAAAATTGACTCTCCTGTTAGGGGTGCCAGTGCAGAGGTGAGGACTAAGGAACCATTTGCCATAGACGGGTTGTGCTTATTTTGAATTATTTCACATTTGCAAAGCAAAGGTCAAAAAAAGGCTAAATGTCTTTCTTGTGCTTGACACACCAGGGCTCAGGATCAGGCCCCTCCCAGCCTGGAGGCTCCGGTGGAGCAGGCTCCAGACAGTTTATGCGACAGCGCATCACCAGAGTCAACCTCAGGGACCTGCTCTTCTGCCTGGAGAATGAAAGAGGGACCAGTCACTCACAACTGCTCTATAAAGGCTTCCTCAAATAGCACCCGCATTAAAATGACTAGTGTCGCTCAGTGGCATTAAGGAAGCAGAGTTGACCGTCAGCTCAGACCCTTTCTGCCGGTACTTTCTTTGATCACCCACTGCTGAATGACGAGACGTCTGACTGTGGGAAGAGAATTATCTGGAACACTGAAAAGACGTCAGCTTTTAAAAGTCTCTTAAAAGCACAGGCCTTTTTGTATTTTCAGCAAAGAGGTGGAGCAGATATTGGAACTCGGCCCTGATTTCAGCGTGCCTCTCAGCTCGGTTTGCTCTGTAGAGACCAGTGGCACCCAACCACACTTTACTCATGCACTGCCTCATGCTGCATTCAAGAAAAATGACTTTAACTGAACTGAACACTTGTCAGGGTCGTTTCACTGGCATCTGTCTTGTAGCAGCAAATCTCTGTGAAGTGGTTCTATTTTAGATTAATGTACGACAGTTCAGGTGCACCAGCCTGATTTTACAAAACTGCAGTATTGTTCTTTTTTTTTACCATGTTAACATACACTCTGTTTATTTAAGTTCTTAACAGAGATTTAAATTTATCACACATTTATACTATATTTTAGCAGTTTTAATGTCCGTGGACTGTTTTACAGACTAATCTTGACTAGTCTTGTCATCTGCTGAGTTGCCTTCTTACCAGATTAAGCCATATGGATTAGAATGTGTTGATCAGCTTTAGTAACTTCATCTATCCAACAGTTCACTCCAGATTTGTAGAATATGTGCTGTATTGTTTTTGTTGTGCGCTTTCTTTGTTTGTCTCTGCTTGATTGGAAACAAAAGATGATTATATGTCATGTGTTGGTATCTGAACTCTCACCACTATAGTGTTTCTACTGGGAGAGTTGAGTGGTTGAAAGTGAAATTCCACTTTTTATTCAGATTCTAGCACATTTTATATACAGACTACATAAACTTTACATTCTTTTCAATCATTTCTCAAGCTATACTATACTTGCTATTTTACCATCTCCCAAGCAGTCAGCAGTTTTCATTAATTTCTTCAGTAACAATATAAAATTCGACTTACTGAACTGGACCTTCTATCACAGGGAACATCCTGACACTTCATTGTTGCACACAATGATTTAACAAGTCTGCAGATTTTCTGAAGTTCCAAGCATAATGAAACATTTATATTATAAAAATAATAATGTGGATTTGGCTCTGTGTTTCTTGAATATTGTTACCAAGAAGCAGCACTTTCAAGCAATTTCCCCGCCTTTCAGAAATGTCACCCAGAGAGCTACAGACCTTTCAAATAAGCAATGTTGAGGTACTTTTTGGCTAAAATAACTTTTTAGCAGGATGTTTGTTGTGATGGATTGCCCTCTCAAGCACATTTTAGTCCTGGCTGCCTGACGTTACTAAATCGAAACTAGTATGGTACAATTTGGAAAAAGAAGTGGTTGTTAATAATGTAAAGTGTCCAGGGTCTGTAGCCCTTGTGCTATAATGTGCATTTTAAAAAATGGAGTTCGGAGAGCTGAATCGCAATCGCAACAATGTTATCGATTGCAGTCATTTAAGTGAATCAAACTTTTTTCCAATAGGTTGTATGTCCACATTTTATATTTATCAATGATGGAGGTCATGTTGAGTTAACATGAGCATGAAATGCAGAGCGAGGACGGCACTTTGACAGATCAGTTTTCTAAAACTAGTCGATCAGATGAACATACCCACTTTATAACTTTTTATATTTTTAGTGCACATACTAATTTTGATCTTTATACCTTTTGTCATTTTATGAAAGAATGTTTATTGGCAAATTTTATTACTGTACATACTTAGGTTTGCTATTTGTAGATTTATCAGTTGACAACTTCTAATTGGGCAAGTTTGTCTTATTATTCATATATTTTTT